CTGACAGCACTGCATATCTGTAACACCGCTGTAATAATTCTCTGCAGGCACGCTAAGGTTGCTTCGAGGTGGTCTATCAGTGAGTAACTGCTGGTGCTTGAGATGTGGGGGATTTTGTTCTCCAGTGTTTTGTGGAAAATCTGCCATGATTTCATTCCTCCTATGTAGTGTACACCACCTCTGAGGCACACAGTGGTTTCTGTGGGCTGTGGGCTAAATCCTGGACTGAGTGACTGAACTGAACTGAACAGTTTTGTGGACTAGTGCTTAGTCCAGCTCAAGTACTCCTGAACAAATATAAACCACTGCTAAAGAAATGACTGGACTGAGTGTTTTTTCTTGAATCTGAAGTGAGTGAGTAGAGACAGATGTATGATGTGGAGCAGGAGTTAAATGTGAGACGGTCGTAAGATGTGTTCAGATATGTGGCAATAATTCCACTGAAAGCATTCAAATTATTACTTTGGCTAAAATACAGCTGTATTAGTAGCAAAATGTATTTAAATTATAAAAAGTAAAAGTACTCATTTGGCAGCAGAGTGTGGTTAAAGGTTGAAGTAAAGATCATTTTGATTACTTTATATTGTATACTGTGGGGTAGTTTTAGCTACAACAATGTATCATATTTTATCACTGGTCATTTAGTTTGTAAAACCTTGATCCTCAAAGTTAAGCAGTAATTATAGCTGTCTGACAAATGTAGTGGAGTAAAAAATGAAATGTAATCAAGTAGAAATATAAAGTAACATGAAATGGAAACACTCATGTAACGTGAATACCAGAATTTAGAATTTCCACTTTTTAAAATGGGGCACCAGTCCTCAGGAAGGAGAGAGTATGTTATGGTTATTCACACTATGTCTAGACAGCTAATGATCACTACGTCTATGAATGAGATTTGATGATTAGATATTGTTATATATTCTAAAAATAAAAGATTGTGCGTATAGTCAGAGATAACATTACTTGGAACACATGGCAAAGAAAGAACATAGAATGCGGACAGACAATAAGGAGAGCAATGGCTAAGAGCTGATAGCTAAGAGCATTTACTAAGAGCAATGTCTGAAGTGATCACAACTGTTTTATCCCCTGGGGGCTGGCGCACGTTTCAGGGTCGTTTCCTGTCTTCTCCTTTTGTTTTTCCATGGAATTGTTTAATCTAGAATTTTCCAATAAAATTCGCACATCCGTCCTCCACCATGTCCATAAAACACCTCTAGTCTGAAATAGAAGTAGTAACAGGAAGTTTGAAAGAAACACGTTTTTCTCTCACATTGGATGTGAGACTTTGAACAGTCTTGTGTAAAGTGTATCTACTTTCCAGATAGTAAAGATACCTGCAGACGTGCATTGCTACTAAATGCAAAGCAATGTCTAAGAGCAGTTACTAAGAGCAATGTGTGAAATGATCACAGTTGTTTCATCCCCTGGGGGCTGGCACACGTTTCAGGGACGTTTCCTTTCTTCTCCTTTTGTTTCAATTTAGAGAATAATTTTCAGTGGAACTTAAGAATTGTTTAATCTAGAGTTTTCCTATAAAATTTGCACATCTGTCCTCTACCATGACCCTAAAACACCTCTAGTCTGAAAACATTAAATGAAACAACCTATAAACCTAATGGCACTAATATAAAATACATAAATAACAGGAATGAACAATACAAATGTGGATCTCATATTACATCCTTCAAAACCTGAAATTAATCATAATACAAGTGGTTAGCTGATCAAACAACATGATAAACATTTCCTAAAGCTAATAAATGTGAATTACACAGCAGTACTCTGACTATATTGATAATATTAAAGACATAATGGCTAATGTCTATAATGTCTGTCGTGTGAAGGATGTTGACAGTACATGAGCGAAATCTAGATGTTGCATTTCAGCCATTTTGGAGGATAGACTGGGAATCCACTTATTACATAGAAACATCACATAGGTTACAGAATTGTTTGACATCTAATTTTATATTTTTTCCTCAGATCTGTCTGTGAAGAGTTTTCTGCTGGTCACTACTAGATTAGAATGTGGGTTGTAGTTTATGGCTCTGTTATCTAAGAGGGACAGAGGAAGAGGGGTTGGTGTGTGTTTGTGTAACTCAACCCCAACCTGGAGGAAGCAGTCCACTGTTTTCCGGCTGAGAACCATGGCCTCAGACTTGAAGGTGCTGACTCTCATCCCGGCCGCTTCACACTTGGCTGCAAACCGTCCCAGTGAGCACTGGAGGTCACGCTCTGGTGAGGCCAACAGAACCACATCATCTGCAACAAGCAAAGACGCAATTCTGAGGTTCCCAAAGCAGACACCTGACCGCACCTTAAGATCCTGTCCATGAATATCACAAACGGGATTGGAGACAGGCGGACTCCAACATTCACTGAAAACACGTTTCACTTTTTACAGAGAATGAGGAAACAGCTTTCACTTTATACGAGAACCGAACGGCTCGTAGCAACAGGCCCGGTACCCCATGCTCCCACAGTATCCCCCACAGAGTCCCCTGGGGGAAACGGTCTTAAGCCTTCTCCAAGTCCACAAAACACATGTAGACTGGCTGGTCAAACTCTAATGCCCCCCTCAGTACTCTGCCGCCCTTTTGGCCGCTTGTGGAGACCCCTGGGCCAACCATGCCCTAAAGGCCTCCTTCTTCAGCTTGATGGCTTCCCTCACCACTGGCATCCACCAGTGAGTTCTTAGGTAGCTGCCTCGACAGGCACCAACGACCTTGAGGCCACAGCTCCTAACTTCCGCTTCTGCAATGGAGGCTTTGAACACTGCCCACTCTGACGCCATGTCCCCAGCCTCCTCTGGCATGCACAAGAAATTCTTCCAGAGGTGTGGGTTGAAGACGTCATGGACAGGGGCCTCCACCAGACGTTCCCAGCACACCCTCACTATAGGTTTGGGTTTACCAGGTGTGTCTGGCAGCCTTCCCTGCCATCTGATCCAACTCACCACCACGTGGTGATTAGTTGACAGCTCTGCCCCTCTCTTCACCTGAGCGTCCAAAACATACGGCCACAAATCTGAGGATACGATCAGAAAGTTGATCAGCGACCTTTGGCCTAAGGTGCTCTGGTACCAAGTACGCTTATGAGCTAACTTATAAACATAAGTTACATGGTGTTTGTTATAGCCAAACTATGACTAGCACACAGAGAGGAGTCAGCGTGCCTTTGTTCCTGCTTTCGCCTGCCGCCGAGTCGGTATCACACCCGACCCCCAAATTCATCTCCGCCACTGGTGGGTCCACAAGGCAGAGGCTCCATGTAGCGCTTTCCGGCTGCGCCTGACTGGGCCCAATGGGTGAAGGCCCGGCTACCATACGCTCACTGGCGAGTTCCCCTCCCAGGTCTGGCTCCAGGAGGGTTTCCCCATTCCGGGCGAGATAATGCAACTCCTCCATGGCCTCTTAACTTCAGGTGTTATGAATTGCTCTTAGTCTGGCCCCTCCCCTGTGACCAATTTGCCTTGAGAGACCCTACCAGGGGCTTTTGCCCCGGACAACACAGCTCCCAGGGTCACAGGGACACACAAACCCCTCCACCATGTTAAGGTGACGATTCCCAGAGGGGATCTCAGACAGAACTTCTTCAAATTTTGCACATTCACTAGGACTCAAGGATAAACTGATTAGATTTTGATTGTCAAAGATCACAGTGACCTCAGAAAACACTTTACCTCAAAACTTCACAGCAATAATTTCACACAAATGGTTAATATTTTATATGATTCTGGATAAACAGGGACGTAATCTGAGACTAGTCTGAGTGGTGGAGGCAGACAACCGCGAGGCGGTAATTGTAGTTTACATTACATGTCAGACATCACCATCATTTTTTATAAGACTTCAGTACTCCCATCACCTCACAGACAGCTGAGTAATTCTCTAACCTGTATCAGACTTCTCATTTGCTTGACCCTCTAGACCCCAAATCCATCACTAATGAACTCATCTTGGTTTTTGCTTGAAAGCGCTGCAACACTTCACTTTGTAGATCCTCTCAAAATTGCTCGAGGTTGCTCTGTTGAACCTCTGCCCTGGATTACTAACCACATGTGCAGTTAGAAGAGAGCGTAGGCGTGCGGAACGTAAACGGAAAATCTCTAAATAGAGTTCATTTTGAACATTTGAAAGAAAGAAACCTTAGAAACAAGGTCTTTTATCCACCACCCTCCTATTTCAAGTGAGGTTTCCAGAAAAATGTGAGGAATTTTTGTTCTTTTTTTTTTGCTAACAAGGTTGCTAGCATCAGAGCTCAAATGTAGCCATCAGTTTACTTGATTGTGCAGTAAGGCATCTCAGGTTTTTAATTCTATTTATTTCTCTGACAAAGACAATTGATGGCATGTAGTCTTCTGGTTCTGCTGGTTTTTCTATTTTTAGCACCTGTCAGCAATCAATCAAAAATTGAATTGTCATTGTTTTGGGCATCCTGTGCCTAATGGTCTAAGACACAAACCACCTAACTTCATTGTCACTGGTTTAAATCCAGCTGGGGTCCCATTTCACTATCTCTTTCCTCTTTATTCACAATGGCCTCTATTGTGTACTTTCAAATCAAAGCTTAATGGTAAAAAGAATTTCTAGAAAAGAATCATTTCTTGTTCTTTTATGTTTTTATGGGAGAAATTCTGGTGATACTGCACTGTATCAAAGGCCTTTCTGCATAGTTGCCCTTCAATTTGCAGCAAATTTACTGCTTGTAGAGGGAAGTGAGATGCCATCTGTTAAAATGTGCTTTCATGTGTGAATATTTAGCTTATAACACATTCATGATCAGCTTTTCTCAGGTACTGAAACTTACTGAAACACTGATTTGACTATTGATTTACTGTATGGTTGCAGTGTCCTCAGGCTCTGAGTTGTGTAGTTGGCTGAGTTGGCCAGTTGTGTATGGCTGATACATGCTATAAAATACATTACCACTGTATTACCAGATGTTTGTTTTGGTTCTAATATAAGCTTTCTCTTTTGCTGTTTCCTCTGTAGAAGAACATGACACTGAAGCCCCAGGAGTGCAGGGACAACCAGGCAGGGCCCCTGCACAAGAAAAAGCCTGCCAGGGTCCCTAACGGCCTGCGCCTGGAGCCCTGCAAGAACAATCACCACCACCACCAGCCTTCAGACCAGGAGAACAACCCCCGCCTGGCACACACACAAGGCAAGAGGAAGAAGAAGCACCTGAACAAGAAACACTCGATGGTGAGTTCAAGATTTTTTTATCTTACTATTGCACAGTGCTGATAAAGTGATCTTATACTGTATATGTAAGAAATCATATATGGCAAATATGATGTTTGCTATGAGCTGTGATCTATGAATGCAGTCTTAAATGTCCTGTAGTTTAAGAGTGTAGTCTGTTAGATAGATTTAAAGAGACGTTTTCTCTGAAATTCAGTTTGACTTCAGGGTTCACTACAGCGCCTTGTATTACCTTGTACTTTTTCATGATGGTGAAAAAAGTCAGTTGTGTTATAGAAAGACTTCCAAGTATTTTTAAAATGATGCTGCATCTTGGTTTTCTTCCTCTAGCCTCAGTGGTCACTCTGTGTCAAGAGTTTGTGTGTTGTGTCAAATCTGTACTCAGGACAAATGTAAAACCCCTATATTCTTTAACTGAAGCCACTGCAGAGGCGTTTGAACAGTTCATTCAGTCCACAGTCACTGGATGTGGGATGGCTGGAGACGTTTATTCACAGAAATGTAGCAGCTAGTTTTTAGTTTCTCATATGCATCCCGGAATTTAAAGGTTTTTCATGGCTCCATATGCTGCTGTTGCTTACTTTGCTACACAGTTTGTGTGTCCCAGCCTAGGTTTTGTTTAAAACTAAATGAATATGTTGTTGTGAAAATCTAGTAGGAGCCACTCTCTCAGCTAAAATCAACTGCGACAAAACTGAATAACCTCTATAACTGTAGTTCGTATTCATGTGTTATATTTGTTTGTATGTGTTATATTTGCATACATATTATGTGATGTGTTATGTTTGCATAGTGTTGCAGCATTGGCAATAAGTAAAAATGAGGCCACAGATTTGTGCAGAGTCAATGAAACCATTCCAAGAGTGACACTCCCAAGCAATCTCCCAATGCAGCAGCAAGTTTACACCGTAATGGTGTTTACAGCCATGGTGTTGGTTTAATGATAGCCATTGGTTCCGCTGTTGGCTTTCAGGAGTGAGTCAGTCAGTCTGACTTTTTTTTTTTTTAAAGTATTCTCACAAGGTTCGGTACAAAGTCACACTCCATGTAGAGGCTGTTTTGTTAGAATTACAAACCAGCAAAACTCGTCTGTGAAAAAGAAGAGAAAAGGAAAGCAGAGTACAGAAACAAATGATCATCTGGATCAGTAAGAGAGTTTTTAACAAGGTGTATAACTACTACTGTGTTCTCCAGATCTCATCTTCCCACATCCTGCCTCAGTCGTTGTGGATGTTGAGGAACCAGTTTGAGCTATAAGTTGACTGATGCATGGAAACTCCTTCCCCCAAGAGTTTTAAGGCTTTACAAACTTTAACATACACTCGGGGCCTGCAGGGAAATAGAGTCAAAATGCCCTGTCAATGTGGAATATAGCTTCAAGGGTATGTGAGTGTATATTGGTGTATGCCTGAACATATTTTTGTGTGTAGCGAGGTGACAAGGTCACTTATAAATATTTATGGTACACTGATGCAGTGGTGTATCTCCACCAGCAAGGACTATCTGTTACAGCACTACCTACTGTTTATACAAACACAAACACAGCAGAGACTCTGAGGTTATGCTTTGCCATTTCTCTGGTAGAGGGTCAGTCTTCTTGAGCTGAATATTCAAGGACATGTTTGTGTGGATCGCTGCAGGACAAGCAGACATGAGGGAAACACAAAGGCAAAGGCATGCCATTAGCTTAATTATTCACTGTTGACTCCACAGTGGTTTTAGGGCAGCAGTATGTGTGGTGGTGTTTCTTGCTTTCTTTTCTGTTGGTAATAGATTTGTAGGTTGTAGCACAAAAAATAACTCGAGTAGATGACTTTGTTTCTTGCTTCAAAATTCTGCCAAATATCTGCTTGTTTTTAGAGAAATCTTGCTTAAAATCATCATTAAGGTCTTTGGTTCTTCTGACAAATTTCAGAAACATTTTAAATATGAGTTACCGTCATATAATCCTATAGATATTTATGCCAGATGTTTTATATCATGCAGTTTAGCTGCTGTAACTGTGTGCTTGCTGTGGCTCTTCACTCCTGCTGAGTCAGGTCCCTCAGCCTGTGCTTACGAGTTATGTGGATCAGTGTCACAACTTCTCAGAAAGGCTCCTGTTTTCAACACATCACGTGACAGTGAATGTACAGTTATTGTGTGAAAGCAGCATACAGTAGCTGCAGCCTGTAGCTTTCGCAGCCGACCTCTGTTATGAGAGTCACTGCTGCTGCCTTTGTGTCATGTCTGTCCCTGTGCTGGCTAATGGACAGATGGTGCTACCTGCCAATTTCAAGGTTGTCTTTACTGCTGTGATGGCTGGACATGCACCATAGACACGACTGCACAGAGGCATGTGAGGTTGTGCATTACGAAGTATGGGTTCATCTGCACCTTTTATGCATGTGTCTTGGGTTGTTGGCTTGAGCTGTGTGTGTGTTGGATACTTTGGCAGGTGGTTGTGGTTGGCTGTAGCTGCATGTTGGTCATGAGTGGTGTTTAGGCTGTTGGCAGAGGGATCTCCGGAGCATGCATACACACACACACACACACACACACACACACACACACACAAATACTTGAAGATGGATTCATGCACACGCAAACACATCCACCACATTCTCACCCACTCTCTTTCTCACCCACATATGTGGTGACACAAACATTAACTCACCATGTGTTGCCGTAACCCTCCACACACATCACAGGTGGCTTTAACATGATAGCAACCACACCTATTAGTTAAATGCAAAAAATTATAAATAGCTCCCTTTAAACTTGAAATGATCAAAATCATTTTAATGCTTATACTATATACAATTATCATAACATAATGAATTTGGCTTTGAGTGCAGCTGAAGTCCAGAACGTTACAGTTACCTTCCCCAATAATCAGTAATAGTTTTTTATTCCCTGCAAATGCAGATAGACATATCAACCTTGGGGCTCAACAACACCCTAATCTGTCATACTTTATGACATATGCATAATTGAAAAGATCATCATCTGTGCCCTACACCACCCCTTTTTGTCCTCTCTGAAGAGAAACAAACTGCAGAGTTATCTAGCCAAACTACCATCTTTTCTTTGGCTTCACTATAAATAAACGTTAAGGCATTGTCCTCCCACAAGGTTACGGTTTAAATGTCAGAGGTCTGTCTCAAGGCTTAATTCTCCATTCAGAAATGCTTTAGTCTGGAGAGAGTGTGGCTGTTATCAGCACTTTTTGTTCGCTCTGACTTCATCAGAATGAGGGAGGGAGAGAGAAAGAGCGAGGGAGAGAATTTGGTGTTGAATAAAGCAAGAGGGTTTTTTTTCCCCTGTCTTTTTCTTCCTCCTCCTGCCAAGCTAGCAGATCGCAGCAAATGTTTTCGATCTCTGGCACTGACCCAATGTACTGAACTATGAGATATTGTAAGCTCAAGGGGAGAAAATAGAGAAATGTTTATGAGCGCCTCTGACACATTGCCTCACAGTGGAAAAAAAAAGGGCAGAGACAGAGAGAGGATTCAGTGAAGATGGATGAAAGTTATAGTAGCGAGACTCTTTAACTCTTCTCTTATCATATTGAAAGTTTTTTTCCACGTGTTTTTAATTGTCACTTTGCTGATCTGTAATAACTGATCCAGATTTTGAGAATACAATTGCTACATTTACTGTAGCTTAAAAAAAACTTACAGTCAAGGCTAGAAGGCTTGCTAAGTTTCCTGTACTCTGTGTGTGTGTGTGTGTGTGTGGTGGTGGGGGGGGGCCTGTTTTCTGTTCTGGTAAAGCTCTGTTCTGCTCACTGATGTTGGAGTGGTGGCCTGTGGTGTGTGCTGCTTTGTACAGTAGCTCTGGTGAACAGAGGGGCGTGCTGTGAGGCCCATCTGCTCTTTGGCACTGGGGGAGTGGGGAGATGAGCGGGTAGGGGCAAGCAAGGCGGGCTCAGGTCTGCCCCACCCCATTCCCAAATCTCAGTCCAACCACCTGCCTGTCTGTCTGCTGGTCCGTCTGGCTGGCTGGCTGTTTTTCTGACTCTCTGTTTCTCAGACACTGGGTTCAGTGATTTATTGGACTGGAGTCTCTCTTAAAGGAACACTACTTTGGTTGTATATGAACACTTTATTCTAAAGGACAGAAAAAGTGAAAGGGCCATATCTGCTTCAATGATTCTCAGGGCTGCACCTTTAACTGTATTAAGAATTCAAGCTCAACTCATGCCTCAATCCAATCTCATTTTTTGTGACCATGTTTGCTTGCGTCTGGAGATTCTTCACGTCAGACCAATTACTCCAGCTGACAAGCTGTGCACAGGAAGTGGGGCGTTGAAATATACAACTTTAAGGTGTGTAAGAGGCACATGAGTAAAATGTGAGAAGAAGAAAAGAAGAAAGAAAGAACATTTTAGGAAAAACAAACATTTGTCTAAATCACAGAAACCAAGACCATAAGGAAGAGGAAAGTGGGAAGAAAAGGGGGAACATGTCATGACCCAGTGGAAGTGACACACTGACATTTACTGAGGATTTCATTGGTGATGGAAGCAGCAGGATGAACGCAGAGGTTTCCAGGAGCGTTCTGTGCATTTCATGTGAATTACTTACCCGATTACTCCTGAACCCTTAAACCTTTGGCAAGTGTTTAGAAGACGCAGTTCTTTCTATATTGATATAAACCTACTCAACTTAAAGCTAAGACTTGGCAATTGAATGTGTTTTATTTTATTTCACTTTGAATGTGCTGAAGCTCAGAGCCTGAAAAACAAAAAAAAAAACACAGAAGTACAATAGATGTTTACAGGAAGCAGATGAAGACCTTTCACCAGGCTGCTTTTAGGAAACAAGCTTTGTGAGTAAAAGTTAGTGTTAAAAGTTGGAAGTTAAAGAGGTAAATATTTATTCTAATTTAGTTTGTATTTAATCCTTGTAATTGCTATTTTATCTTTTACTGTATGTTGTAAGGTGTCCTTGAGTGCCTTGAAAGGCACCTATAACTATTATTATATTAGACTTGCACAGTGTACTTGCTGTTAATAA